CACTTGAAGCTGCGGTGCGGGCTTTGACCATTTCGCGTTTATATCATCTGCAATTGAAGCTGAGGTGCTGGCTTTGACCATTTCCCATTTATATCATCTGCACTTGAAGCTGTGGTGCGGGCTTTGACCATTTCCCATTTATATCATCTTCTCGTGAAGATGAGGTGCGGGCTTTGACCATTTCCCATTTATATCATCTTCTCGTGAAGATGAGGTGCTGGCTTTGACCATTTCCCATTAATATCATCTTCTCTTGAAGCTGAGGTGCTGGCTTTGACCATTTCCCATTTATATCATCTGCAATTGAAGCTGAGGTGCTGGCTTTGACCATTTCCCATTTATATCATCTGCAATTGAAGCCAAAGGTGCTAAATGTTGACAAATTTTCAATTCCCTGTGCATTGTAAATACTGAACAAAATTGAATGAATTTTGATCTGTTATTCCTTTTAAAGATTCTACATTCACAATATCATAGTTTACAAGGGATACAGAATCACACAATCTGATTAAAATACAGATCTATATTTCGTTTTGTTTTTTATACTTTCGATGGCCTACACTACATGAAGATCTGACAAGTTATAGCGAAAGGTCACGTCAGGGGTCAAAAGACCGACTTATGACCCTATGACGTCAGACATTTGATTAACCAATCAGCATTAATGTTACTAGTGGATTACCCACAGTTCCGTGCAAAACACGCCTAAAGCTCGCCGTAACAGACCGTTTCATTGGCTTTTCCCTGACAACATTCAGAACACGAGTTAAATAACAACTCTTTCCAGATCCTAGTGTAGTAAAGACAAGTAAAACGGAATTTTGAACTATAAAAAAGAAACGAAATAAGATCTGTGTTTTAATCAGACACCAATGATGATCTGCAACTTGTAATTTAACAGATATCATCTGAATCGAATAAATTTTAAAATATTGAATAAATAAAGAGAGAGAAATGGGGTTTAATGTCCACTTGACACAAACTAGGTCATTTAGGGACTAACATATTGTTTAATTTTATTTCAATAATTTGCTTGCGCGTAGGGGTATTCAGCAGCTAGTGTGAGGAAACCGGAGGACCCGGAGAAAACCCACGAGGTTGGACAGGCGACCCTACTCCTTGTAACGTACAACCAGGGATTCGAAACCATGCCAGTTGACTCAATGAAAGGCCTTATGATACAGCGCGCACATGCTAACCATTCGGCCATCCAACCCCCCACCATTTAAAAGATTTTATGAATAAGTGTGTGGGATCAATGTTAAGTGACAGTCAGAATTCAAGTAACCACCCTCATTCATTCAACTCAAGATTATAATTTTAAAACAATATCAAATACTGTATTAATAAAACAAAAATAGAATGAAAACAATGTATTAATAAAAAAAAAAAATAGAATGGAAATTATAAGGTTGCCAATAGAGAAAAAAATTAAATCTGATTAAAAGTAACAATGACAAGGTAGTCAGTAGGGGCCATTGTAAGGGTCTATTGTTCATACCTTGTTTATAAAGATCTAATCAGATATTGAACGGTTTGATGTTGATAACAGGTGTGGTATACGGGTATATTAAATAATGCCCCGTTTATTTATAGTAATTTATAACTGTAAGTAGAGGGCGGTGTAGTCAGAGATATGAAAACAAATATTTTATTTATTTAAACTAACCCATAGATTCGTCCTTTGATGTTGTGTAATTTATAAAACCGTACATCAAGATGTTGACAATGGTTGGTGGTATTGTTTGCATTGGTTATACAATACAGATATCATCTCACGTCGCAATCGCTTGCCGACTGTTAGAGATCCACTCATTCAAATTAATCCCTACGCAAACATACCTTTTCACCCGATCTTACCGACGACACACAGACATTTGTAGCCCAATTAACGTTACTACGAAAGGTATTGATATTTGGGCAGCCAATGACGCAGGGGTGTTCGTGATATTTCTCAGACATAATGTCTCCTCTTCGTACTTCGCGAGACATAATCTACCAGTCTCGATTTGTAAAGATGCTATCGGAAAATCTTGATTACGGTGTGTGTACGGTGTAGATCCTGTCTTCCAGTTGTAAGTCCACTGTTTGAAGAACAGGTTTGTTATTTATAGGGACAGTCTTGAAGTTAATAAAATTGTAGGGTAGTGTCAAACATAGACTTTGTTAATAAATGTTAGGGTAAGGTAATGTTAGGGTAGGGTAGTGTTAGGGTAATAAAATGTTAGGGATGAGTAATGTTAGGGTAATAAAATGTTAGGGTAGGGTAGTGTTAGGGTAATAAACTGTTAGGGTAGGGTAGGGTAGGGTAGTGTTAGGGTAATAAAATGTTAGGGTAAGGTAATGTTAAGGTAATAAAATGTTAGGGATGGGTAGTGTTAGGGTAATAAAATGTTAGGATAGGGTGAGGGTAATAAAATGTTAGTAATGAGTAATGTTAGGGTAATAAAATGTTAGGGATGGGTAGTGTTAGGATAATAAAATGTTAGGATAGGGTGAGGGTAATAAAATGTTAGGGATGGGTAGTGTTAGGGTAATAAAATGTTAGGATAGGGTGAGGGTAATAAAATGTTAGTAATGAGTAATGTTAGGGTAATAAAATGTTAGGGTAGGGTAGTGTTAGGGTAATAAAATGTTAGAGATGAGTAATGTTAAGGTAATAAAATGTTAGGGATGAGTAGTGTTTACCATTATTCCTATTAAAGGGACAATAACACTCTTGCTGGCTTAACAGCTCCAGAAAATAAAAAATAGCCTTATTCTAAGTACTAGATGTGTTAGTGTCCTACCTGTTGTGTAAATTATCCATTAAATCCTATTTTACTTGTCCAGAGGGTTCAAAAATATTTTTAAATCCAAGTCACATTTGAAAAGCTTTACGTCAGGCTTTTCAAATCATTTAGTTGAATTTTTCCAATTTTTTAAATTAGGTGTGTTAGTGCAATTTGTTGACCAGAATAAAGATTGGGACATATTATTCAGTTACAACAGGAGTGGTATTGAGCCTTTAAAGAATTTACTAGTCAGTCAATCTATATGGCATGAAATAAGAATTTAAAATAATTTAACTTTAAAACACAATGGATACAGTTAGATTGATAGCTGAAAGAATTCGTAAAATTATAGCAAGAAATTGGGTTTATTCTAAAAAAGCCTTAGTTAACAATATCATATGATAAATGAATGGTCGAGGCTGAGTTACATGTATTAAGTAATATTTTGATATTGCAGGAGGACGTGCATTTCAATGAAATCGTCACAGCCAGTCCAATATTTTATCTGGTATAAAATAATGTATTGATACGGCACCAGGACGTTAGGGTGGTCCATATTTTGCAAAATGTACTTCTGTCATTTAAAATTTCTCTTAAAACCCACTTGTTTAAAAGATGGAATAAGGAAGTTTGTCCCATCCAGGCGGTCATGTACCTCTGTCATCATTTAAAATTTCTCTTAAAACCCACTTGTTTGAAAGATGGAATAAAGAAGTTTATCCCATAGTTTTAAGACAGCAACCTCAAAAGCCTTCTGCCATTTTTCTCAATAAGGAGCAAATTACAACGGAAGACCGTAATCGTCGATGAGATTCATAAAAACAAAAAAGATTACTAAAATAAGTAGGTGCAATGTTATTTATACATTTAAAAGCTAATAATAAAATCTTATATTCAATTTTAGAAATTACAGGAAGCCAGTGTAGTTTATATAGAATAGGTGTGTCATGATCTCTGTATAATGTTTTAAAAATAAGGCGAGATGCTGAGTTTGGTAACTTTTGCAGTTTTCATGTTGTACACAGTACAGGACATACATCAATATTTCTGGATGACTGGGAAATGACAATGCAACTATTTCCTGCTTGTATCGATAAATCAAAGTTTAACTTTTGTATCGATAGATCAAAGTTGAACTTTTTCATGTTTAAAAAAGACCCAATAACCAAATACTCAGTCTTATCTGCATTAAATTTCAAAAAATTGTTTTTCATCCAAATTTTTATGTCTGCAGTATAAGTTTCAATATTCAGCTTTAAAAGTCACTTTCAATAGGTTTGAACAAAATGTACAATTGTGTATCATCCGCATATAGATGAAATAATAATTCATGATGTCTTACTGTGAGACCAAGTGGTTTAGTGTATAGACTAAACAAGATCACTCCGAGGACGGACCATTTGGGGTACACCGGAAGCCACAACAGAAAGGCGAAAAGTAAACATCTAGGAAAAAGATACAATTTCCCGGAAAAATCTTGATTTTGCCAATTTTTTAACCTTAAGTATAAAACACTGGAATCACTTGTGTAACTTTATAAATATTATTTTTGTTGTGTTCACATTCTCATTAACCAGGACACACCATTTATTTTCATGGGTAACTTTTTTTCCTCATCAATTCCAACAAACATTGAGGGTAGCCCTCAAAATAAGGACCACCCTAGAGGACGTGCATTTCAATGAAATCATCACACGAGTTCAATATTTCATCTAATATAAAATAATGTATTGAAACGACACAATGACGTGCATTTCAATGAAACCGTCACACAAGTCCAATATTTCATCCTAATAAAATATAATGTATTGTTACGGTACGAGCACGTGGATTTTAATTAAATCATCATAGGAGTCCAATATTTCAGCTAGTATAAATGATGTATGTTTGGCATGTTGTCAGTACATTATTATTTGAAATAATGATACGCCAACATGAAAGGATGATGTCACATCTGTATTGTAAATATAGTTTCATGGTCGAGTGAGAGACATTAAGTAATACATTGATATTGTACGAGTGCTATATCTGTATATTACGCAATGTCTTAAAATACACACTATCCAGCACATGCTTTTCAAAACATGTCATGCAGGTCCAAAATTTCAACTAGTATAAATGATTATATGCTTTGCACATTGCTCATACATTATTTGAAATAATGGTATGTCAACATGAAAGGATGATGTCACATGTATGTAATATTTGTTAATGTGTGTATTTTAGGAGAAGATATTAGAAGCTCAACAACAAGGTTTATCACCTACACCAGGTTCAGGTGTGGCAGGAAAGAAAAGTAAGAATCAGACAGGTGTGTGCATGATTTTAAATCCTCTTACCTTTAGTTTCCAATAGCAACCAATATTTTAAAACCTTTGACTCTTTCAGTCTTTGTATAAATATAGAACATGTCCCAGTATTTGAAGAGTTTTATTGAATATTTGATTGCTTTCCTGGTTTCAACAAATTTTCATGGGGACCACAGTGGTTCAGCGAGTATAGCGTTGGTTCACTAACAAGATGTTCCTAGATTCGATCCTGTGTTGGCTGAGAAAGTCTCCACCCCCTCAAGTCAATAAAGCAGTGTGGGAGGGCCTTGTATTAGGAACTATGTCTAGTCATTCGGATGGGACCAAACTGAAATGAAATGAAATGGGGTTTAACGTCCTACTGTTCTGCTCCTAACCTGGGCCAATGAAGACAGGCATACGCCATACAGTGTGCTATGAGGGAAATTTTCCCCGGGCAGCGGCACTATCGCCTACTCTTATATCGAATTCCATCTGCCAGGGGATCTTTTACGTGCATTCCAATATATACACGGGACCTCGGTTTTCTGTATCATCCGAAGGACTAGGCAGCTGTTCTTGTCAGGCCCTACTTTCTGCATCACTGACAAGGGGAAACCACGCTGGAAAATCCCGATGAACTTTCTCGGCCAATGCAGGGATCGAACACCCGACATCATGGAATTCGATGAAGAATTTTTACCACTGCCAGGGCAAAATTGTCCTCAAAGCATACTGCATGGTAATTGACGATCTTCGTTAGCCCGGTTGATGCAGAAACGTTGGATGTTAAACCCCAGTTCAGAAATTGTTAGACGGGTTAAAAGTGGTATCGTGTGATCTAGAAATTAGACACATACACTGCCACTTGCATGATACATGTCATTGCTTTATGGGAGAGTTTGTATTGTTTTTGTTTGGGGTGTTGTTTTTTGGAGAGAATGAGTGAACCACATGTTAGTCTCAGAATAACAGAAGTATTGAAGGAACTTTAAGTGCTGTTCCTAATCCTATCCCAAAACAACGCACATAATTTTTAACCTGAATTGTTGGTTGCTGTTATTTTTGTCACCTGGCGTCAGAAACTCATCATTTAGAATTACCAAAAGGTTAAAAATAGTTTATGTAAGATTTAGATAAAGAGCTGACAGTTCTTGCTAAAATAGTTCAAAAATAGATAATGTGAAATGAATATGTTAAAAGATTTTATTCAAATTACTCTATTGTGAGTGAATATATTAGCCTTTGATTTTGAAGGTTTGGCAAGATGTGTGCATGAATTGCAGCCACTGTACTGGTTGTTCAAAGCAATAGGCTAATATATTCATTTTGCATTATCTCTTTTTGAACTATATATTATAGCAAGAATAGCTAGCTCTTTATCTAAATCTTTCCCACAAAAGTATTTATGAGTTGTTTATTTCCAATAAAAGTATGACATATATGGAAAGTAGAAATATCCAATCTTACTAGAAAAATACTGGATTCCCTGAAAAACACCCATGGAGTGTATACAGGACAAAAATGTAAGGGTTTCCCTAACTGGCAGCCTGACAATTAAGAATGTCTGCTCAAGTGACGTCAAAGGTTGCATGCGACGATTGCCTGATGTCTGAGCGTTAGTATGCACTTGATGTATATGCTGATAAACTTGATGCTGAGCTTAAGCGTATAACGTTTTCTGAGATGAAAAAGATGTGGGCAGTAGATAATCCAAGAATTTGATTAGGCTCTGATATTTATGATAAATGGACAGCGATAAAAGACAACATCATCTTGTATATGCAATGAATTTTCCTCTGGCTTTGCACCCATTTCTTTGTAGTGTGTCAGCCAAGTCACATGACACAAACATGACCTCTTTTTAATAGATTTTTTATAGCAGTGGTATTCCCTCTCAAATACAATGTTTTGAGAAGGATTTGAAGCAAAATTGTGATAGATATATTAGTATGTATATGTTTTTAGTCCAAATATATCATCAAATCTCCCATTTTGTATGCAGGAATGTATCTGTAAGGGTAATTAATTTGTAAGTTTCTTTCTTCATTAGAAAAGTCAGATGTTAAACCCCATTTTATTCTGTTTTCCAGATAAATTGACAACTGTTCCTGATAACGATAGTAGAATGAATTTATCGTATAGATTCCCCCAAGAACAATGGTCTACAGCACAGTCATACTTTGAAGAAGAAGTTTTATAGATATCAGTGGGAAGTGTCTGAGAATATGTTGGACAAGGAATCAGACTCAAAGCCAAGCCTGGAAATATGGCACCTGTCACAGACAATGTCAGGCACAGATACAGGCTTTGTCAGGCACTAAACCTCTGCTGCCTGTCATTTTGTCTGGCACTGAGTTGTCTTTTTTATTGATGTTATTAACACATGTCCGGCGCTCACTAAGTTGAAAATGTCAGGTACTATTTCTTTAGTGTCTGACATTTTGCCGGATACATTTAAAACCGTTATTTTCAAGCGTTACTCATCTTCTTCTTATTGAGGGCGACGCTCTTCCAAAAAAAGCTTAATGCGACACCAATTCATGTACGTTTGGTAGGGTTGTTCTTTGAACAGTTGATGGACTTCGATTTTTGATATGACATCACAATTCTACGATAGCTGCAATGACATCATACTCGGTTCCTGGTCCATGGCATTGCATGTGTGTACCGTGGACAATTGCTCATCGATTGACAAACATCGATTTTTTTTTATATAACGCCACAATTCCAGGATGGCTGTGATGACGTCATACTCGATTTCTGGTCCATGACATGTGTTTGTATACCTTGGACAATTGCTCATCAATTGACAAACTTCGATTTTTTATATGACATCACAATTCCAAGATGGCTGCGGTTCCTGGTCCATTGTATATGTGTACTTGTTTAGAACAAGCACTCGTAAATGTCAGCTTGTTATGTCGTGGTCACATCTTCATTTAATCTGAAAAGAAAGGCTGAACTTGATACAAGCACCCTGTTTCTGGGCATGGTCAAAAAATGTAAATCTTCATATAAATTTGAGATAATAGCCATTGGAAAATCTGGATACTTAAGAGATTTTAGTTTAAGTTTTTGGGAATAAGGCTCCTGGATTGTTCAAGGAACGGAATTAGTTTTCACTAAGATTTCTCATTGCACCCGATTTATCAAGCATCAAAGCCAGGGCACTCTGGTTTGGTTTTTATTTATCAAAGCCAGGGCACTCTGGTTTGGTTTTTATTTATGACATATTTCTATCACCGCTGTTTATTATAATATTTTAACAGTAAATATTTTGTGTATAAGCTTTCAAAAAGGTTGTTTGTTTGTGAGATGTTGTATTTGTTTATTTTGTGAAGCTGTTGCTGAATCGGGTGGCTGAGCGGTCTAACGTATATACTTTAGATCATAACGTCTGTCAAGTGGTGTGGTGCTGACCCCACACTTGTACGTGACAGGGATTAGGGTCGCCTGCCTAACCATGTGGGTTTTTAATCCCACACATTTTTATGTGACAAGGAGTAGGGTTGGCTGCCGAACCTTGCAGGGTTTTATCCGGACCTTGCAGGGTTTTTTTCCGGGTCCTGAATGACCCGACACAAATGTGGTCCAGTGTTAAATACACAGGGACCCGACACAAGTTTGGTTTAGCATTTAAAACACAGGGACCCAACACAAATGTTTTTATAATATTAAAGGCCACAGAATAATTTAGATATTTTAGACTACGATCAAAAAGTTGGGTTATAACAGCGGGCCTTTATGATATATAATATCTAGAGTTAGTAAAGTAAATGTTTTGTTGTCAAATATTTGTATTAATTTGTTGTCAAATATTTGTATTAATTTGTTGTCAGATATGTGTATTAATTGGTTGTCAGATATTTGTATTAAAATAATAATCTATCTGTGATAAATCTTTAAAGGACAACATTAGCTGTTGCAGTTTGGCAACAATATTATTTGCCATTACCAATGTCATTTTCTTTGTGTTGTGGTTTTTTTTGGTTTTTTTTCAATTGGTCCAAATGGTATTATCCAGCTTCAGTATTCCCCTTGCTAATATTTGCCGCTTCTTGTGTCATTTTCTTTATGATGTTTTTTTTTTTTAATTGGGCCAAATTGTATTTCTCTAGCTGTGCTTATTATTGGCTGATAAATATTTAATATATTAAAAGCTACAACAATCTGCTGTGTCCTTTAATATATAATCCAAATGTTTCTACATTTTTGAGATAAAGATGATAATACTGGATAGTTTTGTTGACATATTAGGGAACCTTCCTTTATAAGTCAGATAGTTAGGTTGTAAGTTGTCATTTTAAATGTTTTCTTGGCATTAATATTAGGGAACCCTCCTTTATAAGTCAGATCGTTAGGTTGTAAGTTGTGATTTTAAATGTTTTCTTGGCATTAATATTAGGGAAACCTCTTTTAAAGGGAATATGACTATTGTCACGAGTATAATTGTGATTAGGTCATTCCTTCACTAGTCAGCCCCCTAAAAACAATTGTCAGGGAAACGCTCTCTGTTAAGGAGAGCTGCCAGCTACTTAAATAACAGGGGGCTTATTGTTTTAGCCCCGTGGGTTTTCTCCGGGTCCTCCAGTTTCCTCCCACTGCTAAAGACCCCTACGCGCAAGCGAATTATTGAAATGAAATTGAACCATGTGTTATTCCCGAAATGACCTAGTTGTGTCGAGTGGACGTTAAACCCCATTTCTCTCTGGCTTATTGTTTTACAGTATTCACGAAAAACTTTAACTAAAACGTTGTAAGGATGCAGTGATATCATTACAAGAAGGACCACCGTTCTTGTGAAACCCTAGTTACACCTACTATTTCTAACAGAACATTTCCTGTGATATAATGTAAACTTAACAAAAAAATATTTGTTGATGTTTTGAAATTGATATGGTATTAAATTGTTTGTTTGGTATTTAAATGTATATAAACAATATGTGTATATGAGAATTTCTGTAAAAAGTTTAAATTCTACATGAAGTGTTTTATACATCTTTGTATATAAAAAGATCAATATAATTGTTTAAGTTAAGATTTTTTTTTGTTTATATAGAAGTGAGTGTGTGCTAAATCTTTATATATTTATTAAAATTGTAAATAAAAATATGTTCACAGAATATGTACATTTATGTTGGGTTGTATCTGTGGTTCTGAATGGAAGGCGTAGCAAGGACTGGGGTCTAGTCCTTCTGATGGGATAAACACCTTAGATCTAATTGATAAGGCCAACTTTAAGTTTGGTCAAAGGTCACGAGATGTAAACAGGGCTAGCGCTAATCCCAACCCTAACCCTGGACCTATTCCTAATGCTTACCCTAACCCTAACCTACAATCTCGCCAACAATCACTTGCCCTAACCTTATTTACATCTTAGCGACCTTGACGAAAATTGAGCTGGCCTTAACAAATAGATTTAGCCAACGAAACACCGCTATCCCTTATAGTACACTAGATGGTGACCATTAGCCCCGTTGGTGAAGAAACGTAGCACCCAGTTCAATTATTTCCTATGGCTAACTTGTATTTTTGATAACAGAAGGTTTCTGCTCATGATCTGAGATAGTCCAAAGTATCGGATTCCTGTGGGGTAATTCATAGGGAGATCCATATGCAAATTGTCATATTGGAGTGTCGGATCCCCTGTTCCCTGTATATCTATATATCTATATGAAATATAGTACAATTATCAAATGTCAAGGGGGGATGGATGGCTGAATGGTTAGCACATACTCGTTGTATCATAAAGTCTGTCATTGAGTCAACTGGCGTGGTTTCGATTCCCCGGTTGTATGTGACAAGGATTAGGGTCGCCTGTCCAACCTCGTGGGTTTTCTCCAGGTCCTTTGGTTTCCTCCCACTGCTAAAGACCCCTACGTTTAAGCGAATTATTGAAATGAAATTGAACCATTTGTTAGTCCCAAAATGACCTAGGTTGTGTCGAGTGGATTTTAAACCCGATTTCTCTCTCTATCAAATGTAAGGGGATGATGGTAGTAGAATCAAAGAACGTGAAATGCCATGAAATAATGTCATTGTTCCAGTGTTCTCCTGTTGAACTTGTGGTTGTTAAAAGGACCTGACTAAAGTTTAGAACACCCCCCACCCTCACCTTCACCCTACGCCCTCATCCTTTAGGTTCCCTTGTCTTCAGGTTTGTCACTACACAAAATATGGATAACAAAAGAACAAGCTGGAGGCTTTGGAAGTTTTGTCATGGTCATTGATGACGATTGAAAGGTCAAGAGACGGTTGAACCACCAAAATAACCATAACCCCTGGACTAATGTGCATTCCTCATCGGCCAGAGTGAATGGTACGTTATTATTAACGTTCAAATTCCATGTCCAGAATTGATTTCAAATGTTAAATTAATATCTAATCTGAGGAAACCATATAAATATGAAACACTTTCATTTATTAACAAGTATTAGATCTTAATTGGCTGTTGACCTGAAATATGACAGTCCATTGGACTAGAGTTAAATCTGTAAATCGTTATTAATATTTTATATTATTAGATGAATTTGAGAATTCTCTTCAGTGTCAAAAACAAAAGATGAATTACACGGTTCTCGGTATAATGAGGTCAAACTCATAAAGTTCTTTCCTTGTAGTACACTTCTTTTTTTGTGTTGTTTGTCAGTCATTTTTTTCCTATCTTTTCTTTCTCCTGCCCTGTGTCCTGTCCTCTTCTTCCTTCTTTCTTTTCTTTCCTCCCCCTCTCCTTTCTTTCTCTTTTATCTTTTTTTATTTTTTCTTTGTAGGCTTAGGCCCACTTTTTTAATGAGCTCCGGCACTGGCCCCACCCCGCGCTTGTTAGTGGTGCAGGGCGGGTGATCTGACAAGGGACAACGTATTGTCGTTAAAATGGGGCCAAAAATCGAGGTCCCTCGCAGCACATAGTCCGCCTCTATTAGCCCAGTCAAATCAGAATAGTAGGACATTAAACCCCATTTCATTTCTGTCTTGTTTGGCTGTACTTGTGATTTTTTGTTATTGTTATTCAGTATTTATTTTTGTGCTGACCTTAAGACAATAGTCATGACTTTTAACTAGGACAAAATTGTAAAACCTGTTAGGATCTGGTCTAAGACTACTAGTGATAATTGTATTAACGGTTTTAAACTAGGAAGAAAAACTTCCTGTGTTGAGTCGTGTAGGAGGGTGTTGATAAACAATACAAATATTCTGATATCGTTAGGACTTCAACACGATAAAACTGTTGAGGTGTGAGGGGTGTTGATAAACAATAGAAATATTCTGAAATCGTTAGGACTCCATAAAACCCTATACTACGTGAAATATATCTTCTAATGCGGGGTGGGGTAAGGTCTTTAACTGAGTCAACTGACGTAGTTTTGAGATTCCTAGGGGAGGGGGAGGGGTGAATGTCGGAATGGTTAGCGCGTGCGCGTTGTATCATAAGGTCTGTAGGTCTGTCATTGAGTCAACTGGCATGGTTTCGATTCCTCGGTTGTATGTGACAAGGAGTAAAGTCGCAAGGCAACCCTCGTGGGTTTTTTTCAGGTCCTCACACTGCTAAAGACCCCTACGCTCAAGCAAATTATTAGAATAAAATTGGACCATATGTTAGTCCCGAAACCGAAATGACCCCTCTCTCTCTCTCTCTCTCTCTCTCTCTCTCTCTGCAATTAAGGGTTAGGGTTAGTCGAATATAAAAAAATATGGCGATCGCAAATTAATTAAATATATGCAAAAATGCACAGCAGGCCTAATGGACCCACTGCACTGGGCTGTCTGTCCAAATGTCTGCTCCAGAATGTGTCTATCCCTGTACGAGAAATCACCACCGCTGATAAAAGTCTGTTTCCAACTTATGTGTGAAACATTAGCTATAGGATTGTGAGACTAATAACCCTTTTGAGACATTGGAATCAGAAAGGATGAACCCTGTTGATTTTCGGGAATATGTCTTGAAAAGCTTGTGAACACGATAGAGATTAGATTTCCTGAAGTATCCTAGCTCCTTAATAAATCAAGTTTCCTTTCAGATAAGCTGCTTTGCGTGGCTATCTTATACATACTTATTTCATTTGTTACCTTGTTTTTTTAAGGGTGGGGGCGTAAGAATACATGACAATAAAGAATATAACCAAATGACCAAGTACACTCTCACAAAGATGGTGGACAGTTTACATATTAATTGACGTGAACATAAACACAAAAACAATGTTGTAATTGGACGTAGTAAACGCCACTGCTCGGGCAAAACACTCTATCATATTACAAAACTAACATCTCAAATTGACGGAAGCGTTGACAAGACGACAACAATCTATAGCTTACGTTTTTAAATTATTATTTTTTATTTAAAGTTTATGAAGATCGTTGTGGTATTTTTATCCCATCATCTTAAATATTTAATAAATGTTGCGTCCCGGCAAAATACTCCTCCCTCCTCCATCAAACTAACTTTCGTTTTCAAATTATTTTTTTTATTTTATTTAGAGATTAGAGTTTATGAAGATCGGTGTGGTATTTTATGTCCATTATTATCTTATTTGAATTGACGTAAATTCTGCTGCCCCGGCAAAATAATCCTTCCCCCATCACGCTTATAGTGAGGGAAGCGTTGAAGAGACGCTAAGCTTCTTGATTTCGTTTAAAGTTATTAATTTTAATTTTATTTAATTTCTTTTTAAGAAGATCGTTGTAGTATTTTATTTCCATCATCTTGTATATCCAATACTCCTACCTTCATCATACCAAACGTTGACGTGACGCTAAACTTCTTGCTTTCGTTTTCAATTATTATTTTTTATTTTATTCAAAGGAATACAGGTTACTTAACGGATTTATTTCTAGCGACGTTGTAGTATTATCTTATATATATTATAAAAGCTGCTGCCCCGGCTAAATACTCCTTTCTCCATCACTCTCTACACAACTAACACCCCATTGCATCTGGTGAAACATTAATAAACGTCTTGCTTTCATTTTAAAATTATTAGTTTTATTTTATTAAAAAGGGGGTTTATGAAGGCCGTTGTAGTAATTATCCTGATATATTATAAAATCTGCTGTTCTGGCAAAATACTCCTTTCTCCATCACTCTACAAAACCAACACCTCATAGGATCTGGTGAGACATTAATAAAATTCTTGCTTTCATTTTCAATTTATTATCTTTATTTTATTTAAAAAGCAAAGTTTATGAAGACCGTTGTATTATTATCTTGTATATATAATAAAAACTGCTGCTCTGGCAAAATACTCCTTTCTCCACCTCATAGCATCTGGTGTGACATTAATAAATTTTTTGCTTTCATTTTGGATTTTTTATTTTTATTTCATTTAAAAAAAAGGGTTTATGAAGACCGTTGTATTATTATCTTGTATATATAATAAATGTCGAGTAATTAAAGATGGTGCTCTGGTTTTAAGGAGAATCTCGTCTGTTTTCGATCATCTCTCTACAACTTATTACTTCTTGTCAAAAATATTGTTTATCATCCCGTTAAACTAGGCTGAAACCTGCAAGGGCGGGCGCCATATTTCCAACAAATCACGACATTTTGTGTGTTTTTTTCTCAGCGTGTGCGGTGGTGATAAAGACGAGGTGACACACATGCGCGTTAGAATCTGATCTGTGTTATGTTAGAAGATGTTTAAGGAATGCACGTGTAAGAGCCGAAGAGAGAAACAAAAAAAAAAAACACGCTAATATTTCATTTTTTTTTTTTCGCCAGGGTTTTTAAAATGTATTTATATGACTACATTATCTTGTAAACGATGATCAGTTTTGACGGTTTTAGTATGTTCGCCATCTTTTAAAACATTCTTGTCTGTAGAAATTATTCTCAAGATACTTTAGAATGGAAGATAATACACTCGATATAGACAACACACAAACCGACATAGGGGTCTAGGGAATTCCAGGAATTAAAGACTGACACCTAATCATTGTAGCCTTTTCTTTCTCTTAATAATCGAGAACCACCGTGGTTTGTAAGTGTGGCCGCGAAACAAACTACCTCTGGATTTACCATGGTCGGGGAAGAGGGTCTGACATGGTAAAACATCTAGTCATTCCGGGCGGGGAACTTTCTCAGCCGACACTGGGATCGAACTCGAGGTGGTGAAACCC